CTTTCCCTTTCACCGGCTCTGTCTCTGTCTCTCTGGTGAGGGCACATACCCTAAGGCAAAAATCTAAAAAACAAACAAACAAAAAAAAACAAGTGGAACAGCTTAAAATTTTATTTTAAAAGATTTTGTGATTCCCCTCCACCTCCTCCCTCACCCCAAGGATTTTTAGCATCACTGCCCACCATAGAGATGGGAACTCAGATTCTAACGAGACCTTGGGTAAGGTTTTATCTTGTATGAAATGAATAGGGAAGTGTCAAGAAAAGGATTTTGTGTTCCCAGACTGGAATATGGTGGGGCTGGGGTTTTTCTCAGGCTGGTTGTCAGGGTAAGAAGGGGCTTGTGATACTCAGCTTCCTATGCGTTGTTATGGGCTGTCAGGCTTTTACCACTGTTGAAGCACAGTGGGGAGTGGGGACCTAGGAGGGAGAAGGGCTAGGGCCTGTGATAATGAAATGAGAGCTGACAACAAAGGTTCCCGTTCCTCTAAACTGAGGTGGCCTCTGTGCTTGCCCACCCCTCAGAGACCTTCCATGCAGTGCCTGTCGTCCCTCGGTGCCAGTTTCTAGGGACCTTGGCCCCTGCCTTTCAGTCTGTTGACTTTGAACTGACAGAGTTCAGTACAGGACAGGGCGACCCATTTAAAACAGGCCCTGCTGAATTCTGTGACCTTTGGAGAGGAGCTTTTAAATATCAATCTTTGTGATTAAAGGTTTCTCCCCAGTGGGACTGCACCAGAAAGGGGGAGAGGGACAGATAATCCCAAGATTATTTTTCATCGTCCCAACAGTGATCATTCTTTTTCAAACACACATTCATCAAAGGAGAAAAATCCTACTTGCTGTGTTTTCTTTCTTTCCCCATGGAGATGGGAACAGATACACATCACCATACTGTTTGAAAGATAAAAACTTTCAAGTTATACGGTACTTCTTGAAATAAGAGTGAACGAGTCAGTTTGTATTATAAAGTGATCTGATGGAAAGGGAGAAAATAATGGACCGCAAAGGAAGTTTGTCACGTGTTTTAACGGTGGCATTTATAACAACTGATGATTTAAGAAATACTTTTTTTTTTCTATACATATACTAAAAGCAAAAAATAAAAAAAAGTGAAGATATGACCATTGCAGGTGCTATTATTTCTGGCAACTACGAAATAGTAATTTTTTCATAAGTCAAGAGAAGGGCTTATGTATAATATAATACCTGTAGTTTATGTAGGTTGAGTGAGTTTTTCTAATGTTGCTGCCTGAGGTGCCTACAGCATATCCCATGCTGTATGGTATAAATGCTGCATTAAACAGTTAAGCAAAGTTGGTAGACATATTATAGTAGCGGCGAGGAATGAACACAGCCTGTTTCTGTGTCAGCTCTTTGTTGACTTAGGTATTTCAGAGTCCGAATCGTGGCCTTTGTGTGTCATGGAGTCATTAGCGGGGATGTTGTTTCCTTGAAGCATTTAGCCTAGACATACTGGCCAAGCTTTGATAAGTTTATGGTCTAGCTGACATCTGCTGCACTGGATTGTAACCTCACTCTGGGCCCTGACCTCTCACATGTAGCCTCAGGGGCTTGAGACTTGAAACTTCAGTCTGCTGTGGCATCAGGGGGTGTCTTTAATTGCCACATCTGCCCTGCAGACCCTGCTTCTGGAAGCACTTTGCCTCCCCTCGGAGGGCATTCCCTTGAGGCAGTGTTAAGTTCTGCCACAAAGCTGTAGGAGAAAAGAACAGGAAAAAGAGGGTTTTACCTTCCTCTTTTGTTTTGAGACGCTCCTTCCCTAAAACACAGGGTCTGCCCTGCTAAGTGTGTGTGTTTCTCCCCACTGCAGAATTCAAATGGGATTTACACTGGCTTCATTAAAGTCCAGATGGAACTCTGCAGACCTCCACAGACTTCTCTGAATCCTGGAAAACTCGCTCCCAGTAGCAACGGCTGTATGAACACGCTTCATATCAGCAGCACGAACACTGTCGGGGAGGTGATCGAGGCCCTGCTCAAAAAGTTTCTTGTGACCGAGAGCCCTTCTAAGTTTGCACTTTATAAGCGTTGTCACAGGGAAGACCAAGGTATGCCACCACTTTTAAACGGAAATGGTCCTTGCTTCTGCTCAGATCTGTTGTCCGCATTGGGGGAAGGAAGGAAGATGGATGTATCTGTGTCCATTATATCAGTGCACAGAGGAAGATTCTGGAAGCCTCCTGGGTGTCTCCTTTTTTTTTTTGAACTGGACAATTGTAGGTCTGAGGTGCTTAGAGGCGTCCACATGTGAAGGCATTTATGGGAGAGCTTGAGATTGCACAGGGGCAGCTTTAATTATTTAACTAGAGGTTTTCAAGGGCACATCCCATATTTGCATCTGCATGTGGCTCAGTGGCCTTACATCTCATAAGACCTTGAGCATGAGGGCATATGTGTGTCATGGCGTGTTCCAGCTTCCTGAGGGAGATGGCCCAGCCCCGACCTCTTTGTGCCTGTAGCATGTCTTGGGTGGCCTTCCACTGGAACGTCTTTGTACCCTACCCTCCAGAGGCACATCAGTTGGAGGAACAACATTTAGATCTGGAGTCTGTCTTTCTAAACTTCACACCCACATACAGTGGAGGGAAAGAAACTATTAAATTACAGCATAAGACTGAGAAAGATGTTCCATGTTAGGCGGTCAAATGGACATTGATACCAACGATGGACATCAGGGATTTAGGGATTTACTGCATGCTGAGTTGAAAATGCCGTGTATGTGTGAGCAACAAACAATTTAAGTGGGTAAAGCCTACAGTAGCTATAGAAGAAAATATAGAAGCCAGAAGATGGCATGGTGGTTAAGGTATTGGATCCCCATATGGTCAGCCATGGTTTGAGTCCTGGACCTGGCAGTTTTGAAAAAAAAAAAAAAAAAATCATGCCAGACATGTGTGTATGTGTGCATGCCCAGAATCCCAAGAGGGAATGTGGCATGGCCATCCCCTCGGGGAGTGATTTCTCACTTTTCCTCTCTCTGTCTCTCTCGGGTGAGCACGTGTGCCCTATTTCAAAAACCTAAAAAAAAAAGAAAAGAAAAGGAAAAGGAAATAAAAAGTATATTGAGTGCGCCGGGATAGTAACGCCCTTCAGTGGCATGGGATGAAAGCAGCTAGTTGCTGAGTGCTGAGCGTGTTTATTTTTCTTGTTTTAAACACATACCATGTAGCTAGGCCCTGCAGAATACAATGATGAGTACCTAGGGCTCTTATTCCCCAGAGGCCATGGGCTTGGAGCCTGGGAAAAGTTCATACCCACAGGGAAATTGGCACCTAAAGGGAGTTACATTGGAAGAGCCACAATAACACGGAGATGCTCAGATGGCCTTTTTTCCCCCCCTTATTTTTCAAACTTGCCAGTGTCTTTGCCTGCTCACCTGGACTTCGAGTACACAGTCTGAAAATAATAGCATCCTGTTGAAATAGTACACGGATGGCTGGCGAATCTTTCACCACCGCAGGCAGTGCCAGTACTGAGGATGTGTGTGGCAAGAGGCAGCAGCTGTGCCTGAGGCCACCGGAGCTTATATTGTGATCGCCTGGTTTGCTTAGGGCTGGTCATTCTTTTTTTTATCATATATATATATATATATTTTTCTTTGCCATAGTGTGTGTCCACTTACTAGAGAGAAAGTGAGAAATCACCCCTTGGGGAGATAGCCACGCCATGGTTCCTTTTCCTCTCTTGGGATTTTGGGACGGACACACACACACACACACACACACACACACACGGCATCTAGGACTCGAACCATGGAGTGGATCCCACATCACTGCCTTGACCTCCACACCATCTGCTTGACCCTGCAGATCCTTTTTAAAACTTCTTATTTGTTTTCTAAAGGTAAGAACAGAACTAACGATAAGCGTTAGTTGGGTCTAATGCATATCTTAATCATGGTACTATTCACATTGGATAAATAAAGAGGAAATCGATTTCTTTCTACTGTGGGCTCCTGTAATAAGATGGGGAAGATGATGGCTCGGAGGCTGGGGTAACATGGACTGTTTCTCACCTTGATCTGGAGGGGAGGGGATAAGGGTTGGCGGTGGTGTCAGAAATGGCTAAATACTCTGGTTGTAATGTTCTGCTTGTTCCTCCCCAGTCTATGCCTGCAAGCTCTCAGAGCGGGAACATCCACTTTACCTGCGGTTGGTAGCAGGGCCCAGAACAGATACCCTTAGTTTTGTTCTTCGTGAACACGAAACAGGAGAGGTAGGTGATGATTTCTTATTGCCTTAAGCTTATATAGACAACTGTTTTATTGTTCTAGCGTGGTGAGTGGTGATCGCACCACTGAGGAGAGGTGGGAGAGGAGGGAGAGAGAGAGAGGGGTGCAGAGCCTTTGAATTGTTAGAAACGAGCCCCAAGTCAGCCTACAGGACAATTCTCTTATATTGGTCTGCAATTTCCAGAGATGGGAAGAAATAAAACTTACTTGATCTGCATCCAAAGAGTCATTTTCACCCCTTCCCACCTCCAAATTGCCCCAACCCAGCTGACCTTTGAAAGTCGACACTCTCCATATGTTTGCTCCAGGCTAATTTCCTTCTAAAGGGAAATAAAAGGAAATCCTATCTCCTTACCAACAGACATTTAACTTTCCAGAATCGGTTTTCTCCTTTGCCCAAGTCAAACAGTTTGGAAATTCTGTTTACATGTGTGCATCCTTTGCTGTTTTCTCTTCTGGGAGCATGGCGTTTAGGCCCGTTCAAAAGGAAAAAAGCGCCCGAGACTGTCATCCAGATCAAGTGTCGACTTTAAACCTCCATCAAGCAAGTTTCTCAAGCTCTGAGTCTCAGTCTTCTATCTGCAACAGGAAATGGCATTTAGTAGCCCGGCAGGAATAGGGTTTCTAGGTTGGAAGTGACGAAACCAGGGCTCTGCTTCCTACTTCTCATTAGATTGAGAGCATGGCCTTGAGTAAGAGTCTTTTAAATCCGTGAAGTGGGATTGAACATTTTTAAAAAGGTGGCTTTGAGTCACAAATTAGAAATGTATGTAAACATACTTTGTGGGTTGTACATTTATATGTGTAAGTTAGAACTTTACTCAGGGAGTTTTAGGAAGACAGTGATTTTATATATTTTTGAAGTTTGTGTTGATTCTTTCGATTGGAAGCTTTTTGAGTAATTGAGACTCATTTTGGGGGGCATTTGGGTACAGGCATCTTATTTGGCTCTGCAGTTGGATAACCAGACATATTAGAATTGTTTCGTCAGTGTTTTACTTTTCTTATCATTGGTCTTTTAGGTATTTTGCATAATTTAGTACAACTCGAGGTACATGATCTGGGAAGGAATTAATATTAACTTAGTGTTGACGTTCCAGGCTGCCGTGTCAGACCTCTGTATGACATTCTGTTTCTTAGTTATTTAAGGAAAACTGAACTGCGGAAGAAACTTCCCAAAGCTGTTTGGGAGTGGAAGGGAGAAGACATTTTTTAAATTAATTAATTAATTAATTAATTATATTACTTTTAAGTTTGCTATAGGGCAGATCTGCTCACCAGAAAGAGAGAGACAGAGACAGAGAGAGGGAATGTGAGAGAGCAAGCCACCAGGTCTGGGACTTAAACCACAGTCAGCCATGTAGGAGCACAACGCCTCAACCACCATACCACCTGCTGGCCTCAAGAAGAAATGTTTTATAGTGTCTTATTTTGGAGACCTTAACATACATGGACAAAAGTGAAATATGTACAAACTCACAGAACGCTGTGGAAGTTTTGCTCTTCTACTCCTTGTCTCTCATTTTCCTTAGCCACCAGCTCCAGACTTGTCTCCAGGAACTGTGCCGTATAGCCCACCGGCTGGCTTTATTCACTGTTCCCTCTATGCATTTGTGTCAGGTCGTCTCAAATGTTTTCTTCACCCCATCAGACAACAGTCTTGGCCATGGCAGTGGTTCTCAGCCAGGACCCAGAGGCCCCTTTGGGAGGGGAGGCCATGTTTGATAAAAAACCTTTCAGGTCATGTAAAACACCATCCTTGATATTCACTGCTTTCTTTTATTTTTGCATCAGGAAGAGAGAGGGAGAAGGAGAAAGCGCCCCTTGTGGGGCAGGGTCACGTCTCAGTCCCTTCTCCATCCTGTTGGGATTTGGGCACACATGCATATGCGCCTTGAGTGGTTTTCAAGCTGCTGGGTCTGGCACTGAAACCATGCAGCTGGCCATGTGGGATCCAGCTGCCTTAACCACTTGGTCATTGCCATGGTCCAGCTCTCACTGCTCTAATTTCTTACAAGTTCTTTTTTGAAAGAGATTTTTGCTATAGTGTGTATACTCTTGCCAGAGAGACAGAGAGCAAGAAATCACCCCTCAGGGGGATGGCCACACCACATTCCCTTCTCCTCTGTTCTCCTCTCAGGATCTTGAGCACGCATACGCATGCACCTGGCGTGAGTTTTAAGCTGCCAAATCCAGGACTTGAATCATGGTCGACTATGTGGGAGTCCAGCAACAGAACCATTACTCCCATCTGCTGGTTCCCCTACAAGTTATTATTATTATTATTATTATTATTTTTGTTTCTCTGTTTCCTCTGAGACACACACACACACACACACACACACCCACAGACCCACAGATGGCACTCCCAACAAAGTCTTGATGCCGTGATCCACGCCCAGTGTCAGCCAACCCTGGCTCACGGGCGTGTGTGTGCCTGGTGTATCAGGGAGCCTTCCTATGTGGATCTACCTCTGTACCACTGTCTGGCCCCTAACAAGTTAGAAAAAAAGATGTTTTGTGTGCCTGCTGAGTAGGTGCTAGTGGAGAAACAGAACTCAGAGCCTTAAGGGCAAAAGATCAGCCCCAAATAATAGGATGTAGGGCAGGGCAGGTAGGTGCAGACAGGTAGATACTAAGCAAAGAATGTAGGCAGAATGGAGGAGGGGAGGCCATGTGCTAAGCCACTTGGAGTAATGGGTGAGGCTTACTGTGAGCGAGATGGGGCGGGAGAGGTCAGGACCTTCCAGACTGAACCAATCAACCAAGGGAAGCCATTAATCAGACTCTAAGCAGGGGAGAGCCTTGACTAGATTTGTAGTTTACAAAGAGTATTCTGTTCAGGAAACAGCCGCAGGAGTGTGAGAGTAGAGTGAAGAACCCAGGTGAGGCTGTCCCAGAGCAACAGGAGGAGATTGTGGTAGCAAGCTCTAGCCAGGGAGTACAGTTGGGGAAAAAGCAGGCCAACCGGACAGCCATTTGGGGACAAGAATGATTGTGGGAGGTGAGAAAGAAGGCAATGATCGTGAGGACTCCAAATTAAGATGAAGGGAGTACTGAGTTGTTTCTAAAACCTTTGGAGGTCAAAAGAGGTGAGGAACAAAAGTGTCCCATGGCCTGAAGGATACGGTGGTCTTTGATCTTAGCGAGAGCCATTTTGGAGAACGAGGGGAAAGGACAGAAGGGCAATTGGAGTGAGCTGAGGTGGGAGTAGGAGTGGAGGGGTCCCAACGGCTGGGAGCCTTGATGTCTGAGGCACCAGGTGTGCAGGGAGGGCAATGAAGCCCGCAGGAGCTCCTGGCCAGCGTTCCTAAGACTTGACTTTGAATTCAACTCCCGGCACTTTTCTTTCTTCGCTTTCTCTCTCAGTGGGAAGCCTTCAGCCTTCCAGAACTGCAGAATTTCTTGCGCATCTTGGACAAGGAAGAAGACGAGCAGCTGCAGAACCTGAAGAAGCGCTACACAGCCTACAGACACAAGCTGGAAGAAGCCCTCAGCGAGGTGTGGAAACCCGATTAATGCGCAAGGCTCCCTGCCAGTAAGGCGCAGTGTGGACCGATGCATGGAACAGCAACAAGTGCCTCTCTTCTCAGAGCGCTCCTTTCTTGCCCCATGATGTGAGGGTCTTCTCCCTCTTCTCTCTAGATTTAGTTTCCCAGACCTGGTCACGCAGCCCCCTGCACCTTACGCATCCCGTGTAAGGGAGTCGGCTTATTCTGTTACAGCACCGCGGTGATACCTCTCGGCCAGCTGTGAACCTGTAGTCTCCTGAGGAGCGTTCTAGAGTGTTTGGAAGCATGAATTCTGGTTTTTAATTTTTTTTTTCCTTTCTTATTTTCTGTTATTCTAATTATGTGATGATGCTGTTAAGCTTAAAGAAGTTAAAATGATTTTTTATAAGAGTTTAACAAGGTGTGGAGAGCAACAAGGAATCTCTTTGAATACTTGTCCTGTGTTGAAACTACCTGCTTTTGTTTTTAAGTGTCAGAGGAATCTATCCATGTGAATTGAAAGGCACAGGAATCTAGTAACAGAAGTCTGTGAAGGATTTTGTGGGAGTTTGACAGAGAGTAGGAGCAAGTTTGGAAGAAGGCATGTGTAGGGGACGTGAGCTCTAAGGGCTGGCGAAGGTGGCTGGTGAATGCATTGGTGATAGAGGAGAGGTGGAGCTGCTGGAGAATGAGTCAGAAGCATCTAGTGTTGAGAAGTTAAACCCATTTTAGGATTGCTTGATTTCCTGGTCAGCGACGTGTGGGAACAGAGCCAAAGAGGTAGCTAAGCCAAAAGGAGGGACCCATGACCTCTGCCAGCTAGCTGGAGAATCAGGCAGGTGGGTCTTTCAGACCTGGGTGGAGCTGCCTTGTGCAGCCGATTCTGACCCCTTGATTCTGCCCTCCGGAGTTGAAGGTCTGATTGGTGTAGCTTCTCTTCGTAGGCAAGCAATGAGCATTTGCTAACGCCTATCACGATACATGTTCTCCCCAGAAGTTGTCAGAGCTGAAAAGGAATTTGGGTAGGGGCAGCTGTTTTCTCTCTTGTTAGCTGGGGGATATATCAAGTAAAGGAGACTTTTGTGACAATCATTCCCTTCCTTTCTCCCCCATCTTCCTTTTTTCTTTCCTTCCCTTCTCCCCCTTCTTTTTAACTTTCCTTTCTCTCTCTCTCTCCCATTCCCCCCCTTCTGTCTTGTTTTTATAAATTGAAGTTTGTATTTACATGACATAGAACAGGGATATTGACTATAGATTCTAAAGATTCCAGATTCTCCGTTCTAAAGGACAACTTGACTGAGAGCAGGTGCACCCCAGGAAAGGGAGGAAAATCCACACCCAGCTGACGACCCAACAGGGGTTCCTTAGGGACATAGTTTAACAAAAGCGCATGTTCCTACCAACCAAAGAAATGCATGTGCAATAGAAGCCTTCCTAAACAGGCGAAATAACCTCATTTTAAAGCAGTTTCATCTGAGAACACAGAGAAGGGTATGCTGTGGATCCAGAGGGGGCTTACAGTCTATTTTTAGTCTAGATATATTTTGTTTATAAATTCCCAAGGAATTGTTAACACTTTGGTGACACCTAATGGATTCTTTTTGAAATTCCAAGGTGCTTCAGTTCTTGGCCTCCTAAGTGGTGTGTGCCTTTTATTGCATTTCTGTTCCTCCTGGTGGCTCTCTGACCGTTAAGTTAAAATGATTTTTTATAAGAGTTTAACAAGGTGTGGAGAGCAACAAGGAATCTCTTTGAATACTTGTCCTGTGTTGAAACTACCTGCTTTTGTTTTTAAGTGTCAGAGGAATCTATCCATGTGAATTGAAAGGCACAGGAATCTAGTAACAGAAGTCTGTGAAGGATTTTGTGGGAGTTTGACAGAGAGTAGGAGCAAGTTTGGAAGAAGGCATGTGTAGGGGACGTGAGCTCTAAGGGCTGGCGAAGGTGGCTGGTGAATGCATTGGTGATAGAGGAGAGGTGGAGCTGCTGGAGAATGAGTCAGAAGCATCTAGTGTTGAGAAGTTAAACCCATTTTAGGATTGCTTGATTTCCTGGTCAGCGACGTGTGGGAACAGAGCCAAAGAGGTAGCTAAGCCAAAAGGAGGGACCCATGACCTCTGCCAGCTAGCTGGAGAATCAGGCAGGTGGGTCTTTCAGACCTGGGTGGAGCTGCCTTGTGCAGCCGATTCTGACCCCTTGATTCTGCCCTCCGGAGTTGAAGGTCTGATTGGTGTAGCTTCTCTTCGTAGGCAAGCAATGAGCATTTGCTAACGCCTATCACGATACATGTTCTCCCCAGAAGTTGTCAGAGCTGAAAAGGAATTTGGGTAGGGGCAGCTGTTTTCTCTCTTGTTAGCTGGGGGATATATCAAGTAAAGGAGACTTTTGTGACAATCATTCCCTTCCTTTCTCCCCCATCTTCCTTTTTTCTTTCCTTCCCTTCTCCCCCTTCTTTTTAACTTTCCTTTCTCTCTCTCTCTCCCATTCCCCCCCTTCTGTCTTGTTTTTATAAATTGAAGTTTGTATTTACATGACATAGAACAGGGATATTGACTATAGATTCTAAAGATTCCAGATTCTCCGTTCTAAAGGACAACTTGACTGAGAGCAGGTGCACCCCAGGAAAGGGAGGAAAATCCACACCCAGCTGACGACCCAACAGGGGTTCCTTAGGGACATAGTTTAACAAAAGCGCATGTTCCTACCAACCAAAGAAATGCATGTGCAATAGAAGCCTTCCTAAACAGGCGAAATAACCTCATTTTAAAGCAGTTTCATCTGAGAACACAGAGAAGGGTATGCTGTGGATCCAGAGGGGGCTTACAGTCTATTTTTAGTCTAGATATATTTTGTTTATAAATTCCCAAGGAATTGTTAACACTTTGGTGACACCTAATGGATTCTTTTTGAAATTCCAAGGTGCTTCAGTTCTTGGCCTCCTAAGTGGTGTGTGCCTTTTATTGCATTTCTGTTCCTCCTGGTGGCTCTCTGACCGTTCGGAGAATCCCCATCTTGCTGGAGGCAGGTGACCGTGCTGGTGGCATTGTGCCACACACGTTACGGAGACAATCCTCTCTTCCCAAGCTTTTAAGGAGAGTTGGGGGGGAAAAAAAGTGGAACTAGCTATAAAATATGTATGGCACATCTCGTTTAATTTTGCATGTATCATTTTAGCGCCTTGATGAGGTTTGAGTGGTATTGTTACCCAACACTTTACCTTTATTGTTCAGGGATTGCCTTCATGATTTTTATACTGGTTTTACTATTCAGACTAGGGCTTGGGTTGGAGTATACTATTATCAACCATCTGGTCTTTTAATTACTCATTCCAGTAAACTTATATTTTAAGAGCATTTGTTTCTCAGATTAAGACACTGTTAGAAGCTGAAGTAGTAGCTGGTGAGTATCTGTGAAATTTTCTTTTCTTTTCTTTTTTTTTTTTTTTACTTGAAGTCAGTTGTCTGAAATAGGCATCCTCGTCTGTATTTATCCAGAACCTCGCTGGCAGGTGCACTACAAGTTGCATCGGAAAACTTACTGTGTTGAAGTTGTCAGTCCCTGGTTCTTGAAGACTGATGTTCTCTCAAACACTGGTTATTGCAGCAGCATTTTTAATGTGTCAAAGAAGCAAAAAGGGCCACTGAGGCCAAAGGTTTTTTTGTTTTGTTTTGTTTTAAATCATTGTACAAATCCTATGTTAAGTTAAATGATTTAAGCTTTGCTGTAATACTGTTCTCTCTTCGCTGTGTGATGGTACAGGAGACATGCTCACTGAAGGGGTCGTATTGCAGGGGAGGCTTTTAAATTGCAGAAACAGAAGTTATAATATTTATAATTTTGATGAGTTTATTTTTATAGGGAAGATTTTTCTCCCCTAAGATCGTTTCTGGAATGACAAAATTCTTTCCAATTAAAAATCAAAAATTGTTAGTTGATGTTTGTATGTGTGTTTATTTGTGATACTATGCTGGATTAAAAAAAAAAACAAGGTCATAGCAGTGGGAAGAGCTGTTTTTGCAAGTACACGGGGTCACCTGCTGGAAACAAGGTCATAGCAGTGGAGGGAGTTGTTTTTGCAAGTACACGGGGTCACCTGCTGGGTGGTGACAATGGAGTCTCCTAAATGCTATCTTTCCTTTGCTTTATTTTCTGTAGAAAATTAACTCTGAATTTCTGCCCATATAGCACTTGACTGTTTTATGTAAGACAGTTGTTTCACTGTGAAAGTATATATATGTTCAAAGTGTATATAAAGCATGTGAACAATTTTTAAAATTGATTTATTTTGATTTGAGCAGAGAGGGACAGAATGAGAGAGAGAACGAGAGAGAGAGAGAGAGAGAGGAGAGAGAGAGGGAGGTGAGAAAGCAAGCTGGCAGGTTCGGGACTCCAACCACAGTCCACCATGTGGGAGTCCAGCACCCTTAACCACCGTGCCACCTGCCAGTCTCACATGTGAACAGTTTAAAGAACTATAAATTACAAAGTGGATGGCTACCAAGATATGAAGGGGGGGAATCTCATAGAAAATATGTATTTTGAAAAAGATATTGTGTGGATTTCAGAATTTTGGGCTCCAAAATAAACTCTTACTTAAATTCATTTTCCACAAACTTTTTGAAGTCCCCTCACGGAACTTGTTAGTTCCTTAGCGATTCTCTCCCTCCACCTCCACCGGTAGGAGGAGAGTGCTTTTTACTACCGCCCTGCCCCCTGGAGGGGCTGTTGAGATTGCACCAAGGCCCGCACCAGCTGGTGAGGGGAACCTTTTCAAATAACAATGCTGCTTTATAAGGGAAGGTATTACAGTGGAAAATGATACCTCTAGAGTGTTCTCCTTGTCCACTGAAATATCCAAAGGAATCTAGTTTGGGAGGTTAGCCCAGATTACTACCCATGAAGCAGGGTTGGAGGGTTTTTATCTCACTCGAAGAGTTAGCTTCCTGCCCTAGGAGTGAGAGAGTTTTCGCACAGGACTTGCAGTGCCATGATCTTCACGCCTCAGTCTCCTGACGGTCTGGGACTACAGGTACGTGCCACCACGCCCGGCTCTTTAAGGTAAGCCAGGAATCGAACCCAGGCCTTCCATGTAGCCTCAGCATCTAGCATATTGTGCTGGGCTCTTGCTCTAGAATTCTTTTCAGAAGCTGTCACCAACTGGTAACTGTTTAAGTATTTTATTCTTATGTTGCAAAGTCGTAAAGTTGTATACTGCATTTGGAATGCTGTCATATGGTCCTAATTATGTATTTTGTTTTATTCAGCTAAGTGGGGAAGAAATCTCTCTAATAACCAGTGCAAAAAAGTACTTACCGTTTGCTGGGCGTTATTTTATTTATTTATTTGGGAGAGATTTTTGCTATAGGGCGCATATGCTCACCAGAGAGACAGAGAGACAGAAAGCGAGAAATCACTACCTGGCAGGATGGCCACACCACAGTCTCTTCTCCTCTATTATCTTCTCAGGATCTTGGGCACGCATGCACACGTGCCCTGTGTGAGTTTTAAGCTGCCGGGCCCAGGACTCGAACCCTGATTGACTATGTGGGAGTCCAGTGATGTAACCTTTATGCCATCTGCTAGTCCCATTTGCTGGGCATTATTCTAAAAAGCTTACTATGTATTAACTTACTTCTTCCCTCATGAGGTACGTGTTGTTAATATCCTTTTTTTTTTTTTTTTTTTTTTTAACAATAGGCAGACTCCTTGTTTTTTTTTTTTTAACAAGACGCAGACTCCTTGAGGTTCAGCCCTTTGCCAAAGCCACTGTGTGATTGGCATAGCTGCCTCCTGGCCATCTTTTCCTGTAGGGCTGTCAGGTTTTTTAATTAAACTGCCATAGAATGCAGGCCAACAGGCGCAGTCAGGCTTTATTGATGGCCGAGTGCTTTCTTACTCATTTTTTT